GCGATTATCATGCCAATCTACAAGACTGGTGACCGGCTATCGCCCGGCAACTACAGGCCTATAAGCCTCACTAGCGTGCCGTGCAAGATGATGGAACGCATTCTGAAGTGAGCTATCACAGAGCACCTTACTTCTAACAACTTGATACCTCCGGCTCAATACGGATTTCTCCTAAACCGTTCTTGCGTGATGAATATTCTCGTGTTCATGACAGCTTAACCCAAGCCAAGGACGGAGGACTCGTATCGGATACCGTATTTTGCGGCTTTTAAAGGGGCTTGATGGGGTCCCACACGTCCCGCTGCTCCACAAACTCGAGTCTCACGGGATTCAAGGGGAAATCCCACACTGGATAAAGTTATCCTCATTAGACAGGTCATTCCGAGTGAAGGTAGACACTACCTACTCTTCTCCAGCGCCGGTCTCCATTAGAATTTCTGAAGGCTCCATTCTGGGACCACTGCTGTTTCTGATCCACGTCAACGACCTTCCATATGTTCTAGCAAGTTTATGTCTACTTTTTGCGGACGACTTGAAATCCTGGAGTTCCATTGCTAGTGCCCTCCAAATGGATGCAGACGCTGCAAAGCAGTGATCGTTGGACTGGCACCTCCCTCTGAATGACGAAAAGTGCGTCCATATGCCATTTGTAGGAGACTCAGCGAATGCCTTTGTTATGTACGTTGAGAAAGGACCAGAAAACATCACGAGGATAGATGCCAAAAAGGACTTGGGCATCTGGGTTTCCTCAAACTTGTCCTTCTCACTGCACCATGAGAAATCGGCCCAAAAGGCATTCTCTATTTTACGGATGAGCTGACGCACCTTCCCCGTATTGCTCACACGGACTTCCAAATACTCTATGGGCATGCATCAGACCGCTCGTTGAATACAAGGTGTCTACTCAGGACGCACGAAAGACGTCACCCTCATTGTGTTTCCAGCGAGCCGCTACGAAGATGGTTACAGGTCTCAAATGCGTGGACTGCGAAACGCATCTCGCTTGATCTCTTTCCCCTGGAGTGTCGTCGCCTCCGTGGGGACCTAATTCTTACTTTTGCCCTGTTTGAACGAAGCTTGGCCACTGACCAGGTAAACACACGACAGGGACATGGTAAGAAAAGTTTCAAGCACAGAGTGCACAAATTTGTTAGGCAAAGTTTTTTTCTGATTTCCGGTAGTAGCTGCGTGGAATGACCTTACTCCGACCGTTGTAAACGCTCCTTCTAGGACACAGTTCAAAGCATCATTAGACATTTATTTATGCGCTGGAAAGCACACTGCCCCGCGCTGAGCAATGCTTCAACCTTTTTTCACTTGCGCTTTTCAGGTGAACGACAGGAACAAAACCGACCAGGAAAATTTGCTTAAAGGCCTCGATCCTGTGTATCAATCCGTGAAACCCTGGGTACAACGCGACAAGCAAAAAGAGGGAGATTGACACTGAAATGAGCAAAAACATGACGTTTTTAGTGGATCTTGCAAGTGACATGGGCAAAGCTTTTGTCATCAACATCTTAAAAAAGACCGAAACAGAACTTACGTTGCCTACGTTGACCTTGACGGAAGCTGCCTGATTGCATCAGGTCAGAACATTCACTGGTGGTTCATTGCTGGTACCGACCAGCACTATGCTGGAAGGTGCTTGTGGCTTCAAGAAAAAGAACAAACTACAAAGCATGCACGAATGCAGCGCGGTATTATCTGGTGCCGTTGGTTAGCAATGTTCGCAGGGAATCGCATTTTGTTCCAACTAGGCCGCTCATAGATATACTCCCACGCCATATCAAAATACTAACATTTGTTGGTTGGAGCGCGTTCGGGATTTGAACCTTGTTGGGCAACCATTGAATTACAAGTCTAGGGCGGTTTCATAGCAGTTTGTGCCATTCTCACACGATAACCCGATAAAAATGTGCCATCTATAGGATGAGAAATCCCTGGCTGATGCTCGAAAAAATCCGTTGGACAGCATTCATAACGAAGTATTCCGTCAAAGCCCGAAACGTTTGCGGCCAACCGAAACGGGCCTATAGGATTCGTGAACGCGCAATCGTTACTCACGCGGTTTTAAGCTGAATTGCACTGCCCGGCTCTTACCACAGGATGACGAATAACTGCACACTTTGATGCGGGAATAATGAAAAACTTTGAAAACAGGTTATCGAACAACTGTTTAACAACTTACTTCCCTTGCTGATTACGTGGACTATCCGCCAGTATTGCATACGTAGAGTACTGCAGCATGTTTAGTGAAAACTTAACTAAAGGTGGGCAGCAAATTTTGCCGCTACTTCCTACTTAAATGAAATCAAACAGTGCTGCAAGCAAAATGCTCGATTCCCGTTCAACGGAGTCGGCTAGAAACAAACTGATAGGTAGCGAAATACTCTTCTCTTGATCCGATACAAGCGGACTTAGTTATGGTAAAAACCTAAGATGACCTACACACTTTAGATTTTTGCCACGTGTGGACAATGAATGTATGTATTTAGATCGGAATGAAGCGCGTTTTGGATCAGTTTGATTCCAAAGGTCTTAGTTACGTTTGAACTGAAATTGAATCCTTCCATATGTGTTGGCGACTCACAAACAGAGAAGCTACATCCAACTGCGTGCAGGAGATGCACGGAGATCAAGATATTCCGCTCACTTCAACTCAACACTCGAAACTTGGTGCAAAGTCAGCACGAAACCACCAGAATATGCACTGGCCGAGGACAAAAAACTTCCAGTCAAACGGTATCCGGAGGATTCTGCAAAGCAGGAACCCACAATACTGTGCCGCTTAGAATTCTGCCTGCTTTTTGAAAGCCATCACATCAGTGACATTCTCATTCAAGGGCCTAAATGATGCCAAGATTTGCCAACTTACCAGTGTTTCGACGCAACGACGGAAATGAAGCTTTCAAAGGACGACTCACAAAAGCCCAAAGAGAGACAGATGACTTTAGATAGGTAGATCATATCACAGGAACTATGAAGCACAACGAAGGGAATGTGAAGACTCAGTAGGCACGTGAAAAACGATGGACATATCTCGAAAATTAAATGGACAAGAGCGCGGATGACATCAATATTATTATTCGCTTGGAGTGAGCTTTTACGCCGATATTATCCTCACCTTTAGCATATTATCCGATACAGAGACAATTTTAAACAGACGTTAGAAAATCTTGTGGAATGTGACGTGCATTTCGAAGGTGACAAAATTCACCAAAAGTGAAGCTTTGGGGTCGAAATGACCAATCATTTTGAAACCATATCTTGAAGCAGCTACAGGGCTAAAAATGGTTTTAAATCATCCAGATAGCTTTTAACGAAGTGGCCGCGCCATCCAATTACGCGTAGCTCAAAGTCATTTCATTAGATATGGAACAAGATTGAGCTAATTCATCGCCCACCAACGAACTCCTCCACCTTGGAGCCCACCGGGTTGGATGGGCGCGCAAATTTTTAACTTACTTCGCGGTCTGACGGGTAAAAATCAAGTGGCCGTCAGAAGAATCATAAACTGATTGGCCACGCACTAAGCACCAACCCCCGAGGCATGCTATTTATTTATTATCTGAGTTCATGGTTGAAAATGCATTCGAGTAACCATGGTTGTTCGTTTCGTGTTGGATCTGCCTGTCTCTTTATTACGTGTCTCCTGCGGTTTAAGGGGCCTGTGAAAGTGAAGTTCATCTGCTTCCAGTGGTTGGTAGCTTGAGTTGGCTTAAAGGTTTGTAGACGGCGGTTTTATCCAAGCACCACGCTTCCGTGAACTAAACCCAGAAAACAAAAAAATCACACCAAAACACAGAGCGGACCAATCAGAGATGGGCCGCTAAAAACGGAGACGGTCGTAAGAGCCAATCGAAACAACGGGAAGGATACCACGACGCATGAAAATTGGGACCCACCAATCAGAAGAAGGCCTCGAACAAAAGCTACTGAACGAACGAATTGAATGCAAATACAATTCACGATTCGGATCGGCTCAGCAGTGAATCACAATAGTATATGCTGACGACGCAAATTTGAGTAACCACTAAACCGCGCACAAATTATGTCACCTCGATAAGCGACCAAGCATTCCCTACCAGAATGCCAAAATTAGCGAACAGATAAACGAAAACCTAACCAACCACCAAAGCATCCACATCTGTCATAACTTTTCATTCCCTCTAACCATGTCCAGTTCTTTCCACCTCTAGATTACCGTCACAGCGAGTTAGGCGAAGACAGCGCGCGTCTCCGCAACCGGTAACTCGGCATGCGTAACACATGGCCCAGTCAACTTAGCCTGCAATTCTGGATGTATTTGTTGAGTTGAGTTCCCCCAAACCAATCTCCTAATCGCGAATCCGACGGTCCCAGCCGACTCCAACTACAGTTATGAAACACAAGTATTAAAAATAGATAAGTATGTCCCATATCCTTCGCCAGAAACAGCCAAATCTCGTAGCCATACGGCAGCAAACTCTGCACTATGGTACTAGAGAGGCGTCCTTTGAGACACGGTCACGATTTGCAAACGCAATTCTGACCTTCATCCGTCACATTCCGTCAGAGCTAATGCAACTTCCGGGATACGTGGAGCGTTCCACAGCTTCCAGTCATTTCTTGCACGCTCAGAGGCATGTCTGAAGACCGTACATCCCGCAGCACGACTTTGCACTTTGCGGTCGGGAACCACACGCCGGGAAACTAGATAACCTTAGTAAGCTTTCCTGACATTCTCTGCGCTTCATCAAATACACACAATGCACGGCCGACACTACTTGATACTGTGGTTTATGTCTAAGACTACCAAGTATGAATCAGCAGAAGAGGGCGAGAATAGTTATATTCAAATAGACATCAGGAAGCTCGTATTATCTGGCCTAGTTAAAAAGTGACAATAATGAAAATGACATAAGTCAGGTGCGTATAAAACTAGAAGCGGAAGTTAGCAAGGAGAAACAATAGGAAAGGTCAACTCAGCGGCGGAAATAATAAGAAAGACATAAAGGAAGTCACCGGTAACGTGTAATCTTCCACGATGGATGTACCGAGTCACCCAAGACACCGTCGGATTTATCTTCAATGTCTGGGATATTCGGAGATGGAAATAGTTGCAATTCCACAGAGTGATACTGTCGCAGATTCAACTGATGGGCAACGGTGACTGGGGTGATCTTCCGTGAGCGGAGACTCTCATACACTTGTGCTTGGTCCGCTGCACTTAGCTGATTGGTTGCCTCGTCCAGAAACACTACATCTGGGCGCTGAAAACATACGGAGCAGAGTAACAGTCGCTGCACTTCACCGGGAGAATAACCAGTCGACCTGAGTGAATGGAAAAGCGCTTGATGAGAGGGCTTTAGATGAACGTAGTGAGCATTCAACGGTATCTTAGAACATAAATGTGGAGAACTAGTCGGACAACTTTGCACATAAAGTATTCAAGAGGGACTCGGAAGATAGGTCACTCCCCTTGAGTCCAAAGCAGCAGATCTTCTTCCGAGTATACTAATCTCTCAACCTTTCAGAGTACATTAATTCGAAGCTCACGGTCCATCTGCGTTTCAAGGACCGGATGACAAGTTGAAATGGTATGCACTTGAGACATAGGCTAACAAGTCCGTAACAGCAAGATGCGGATGAATTTGCCATGGGTATCACGTAGGAAGTGTTGAGTTTGCCTCTACAACACAAGTTACTTGTGTTCCCCTACCCAAACGCTACTCCCTGGGCCACCCGATTTGATATCGTTGGTTATCATCTGTTGTTTACGCATTACTGTATGGTTTCAGTGGACGATGAAAAAATTACAGTTGCAAACATCATAGAAGTGAGCGAAAATGAGCATCACCTCATAGTAGGACGCCATCAGTGGAACTGACCCAGCCTCTCTTGCGAACCTTACCAAACCGTGTATAAAAATAAATTCTTCAGCTGTGGCAACCCCAAGGTGCGTAGCTAATGAAGCGCAATGATATGAAACACAACCAGGTCCACGAAACATACACCATAACAATATAGAAGACACGATTGAGTTCGAAGTGCAGACCTTCCGATCGGTAGGCTCAAGCGGCCTCAAGTGAGGTAACGGACAAACGTGAAATTCAAAATCCGGCTAGGATATGACAGAGGGCTTATCACTGGGATTTCGGGCGCGTCACTTTTATGCTGCTGCACCGCTGACGTCAGCTAAGAACATACTCCGTAGAGAGATGAGTGATGCTTTTGTTGCGACATACAGGAAATGCTATCGTAACAGAGAGGGAAGGACATTCACGGTCGTCTGATGGCGTTTTCATGTTAAGCACTTTCATACCTGTTAGTACGCTTACCCAGTTTTGTGGGACGTTCAGACCACCTGCTAAGATAGAAGTTCTTTATTCCAACGAGTTCAAAAGTGCGATTTGTTGAAAAGGCTGCATCAGTGGCGAAGAGCGGGTACGAGTGAAAGGGAGTTGAGATACCAGTGGATCACATAAGCACTGAATGCTATTCATCAACTATGCTCAAGGCGGTAGTAACACGCTAATTCATCCACAGCCAGCAGACATTATTATGGCTAGACATTGGAAACTCTTCCATTTCGTCATAAAAAAACGGAAGGTCTGTTACTGTGGATCCAAATAATAACTCTGTCGAAACCCCATTAACTCGATGAAACGACACGCAGGGCATAGAATAATAAGCCTCAGGAAAGATTGAGAGTTGGGGAACAAGTGCGATAATACTCCGGTATAGAGAGAAGCATCTAACTGAACAGTAGTCCTGTGAGAAAAGTCTTTCCTATGGAGGTTACCATCCCGTCAACGTTCATCTTCAACTACTTTCAAAGAGTTTGGTTGCTACCTCATCAATATTTACCTTCAACCACTCACATAATTTTTAACGCATGCACACTCACTATTTTAAGAACATTCGCCCTACGACTAACCGAGATTATTGGAACCTTATCATAAGATAAACAATACAAGCGCATCCTTACAGCATGAACCTATATATATATATATATATGCGGAACGACGGTAGGTTGCCGACGCTCGTCTTGACCAGAGTTAATTCAAACCTAAGTATGCCGGACGACTTTTGAACGTTGACATGTGAGACGAGTTTTTGCTCATGAACGCATGTCTGTGTTCATATTCAGCCAGCGAAGCGTTGAGAGATGAGTCTGTTCGTTGCACGTACTCCAGGGTGTGCTACATTATGTAGCGCATCGAAAACGAGGCGGCGCATCGCGCATGGAACCAGGGGTCTTGGAACGGATTTAGAGGAATCACAGTCTATGTTACCTGGTGCTGTTTGTAGTGGTACAGGTCTAATCTGTAGTGAAGATTTGTCCGGTGATGGCATTATGACGGGCTCGTTTTTTGTAGTTGCTCCATACGCTGGAGGTCAATCGTGGGTATCGAGTGGAGCGAGTCGACTTCCGGACGAGATAAGGTGTCAGCGACGATGTTCAGATGTACTGATATATGGCTAATGTCGTTGGTGAATTGAGAAATATAATCAAGATGACGTATTTCGCGGGGTGAATATATATCAGGCTTGGCTAGTAAGGCTGACATTAACGGTTTATGACTTGTGTAGATGCAAAATTTTCGTCCTTCCAGCAAGTGACGGAAATGGTGGATCGATAGGTAAATGGCTAACAGTTCTCTACCAAATGTGCTGTAACGTGACTCGGCGGGTGATAGTTTGAAGAAAAATGCAAGGGGCTGATGATTACTGTTAATAGTTTGTTGTAAAACTTATTCGGGAAGAAAGAAGAAAAGAAAAGCAAGAAAAACGCCACTGAACTCGTGTCTGCTCCACGACAGCTCCATCGAAAGAATGTCAGTACGACAAAAGTTGGTTGTATGGCTAACCGGAAACCAATCCGTTGTCCATCCATGAAGCCGCGCATCCACACCTCAGATTTGGAGCTTTGGTCAGTCAGAATGGGCAAAGTACTCATCTCCGACTACTTTAAGGGAGTTCATTTATCCTAATGAGAGCGACTGCAGTCATCAAAAACGAAGTCGATCACACGTGGAATTAAAAAGAACTCCGGTGTTGAAGGTAGTTTCGACAGTAAAGTGTGAATAGAAATCCGAGGACAAAAAAGGGTCAGTCGCATTCAATTAAGGGATAGATAAAGAGTGTTTAGACAGAAAGTATCACGTATCGTATGGGAGATTTTCTATTGTCTGGAGAGCAGAGTTAGGGTGGATTTACACAGTAGAAAGTGTATCAGAGTGGAAGTCCTTGACCTAGTCTGCCGGAAATCGCCGCAAGAGGAACCTGTACACCAGCGCAAATCAGGGGATTAGAGCGCGAATTCACTGACAGGAAGCTTAGCGTTCCGAACTCAACCTCGGCATTTCGACTACTCCGGTCTAGGCTTGGGTCACTTGGCAGTGTTTCAGCCCTCGTGTTTCCTTCGGGCAGCATGATAGCTAGGCACCGAAATGGTGTTAGAGGCACATCTTACAAGAAGATCCACAACAGGCCGTTAGAGTGACTACGTGGCAGAAGCCTATTCAACCACCAGTGTAGTCCGGTGACAACTGACTTTCCGCTGCAGAGCGAGAAATTTCGGTGTATGCTAGATTCCATCATATTATAAAGTATACATGTGTTGCTGAAGGCTAGTTATTTGCGTAACAATTGAAAACAACAACTAGGAAGCACTAAGCTAATGGGACTAAAAACACCGTTGATCTCACCTTTCAGCCGGTTCAAAAGTCGATCGGTGCGAAACCAGCTGGCAGCCCAACCGGAACAAATTGCCTACACGCTTCCAAAATGCCGAGCACCAATTGGTCGAAGTGATAACGGATGACCTTATTCGGTAAGAGCGCAACTTTTCATGTATGTACTCGGCATCTTGTACATCAGCCAAACGAAATTCCACGAGAAGTTTCAGGGCTCGGTCAAAAGCGTCGATGGGATAGCCACAAAACGAAGAAACGGGGTACTGTTCCATCCCATCTATTCCTTCCAAAGGGAAATCCATGCTTCCTGAGTAGGCGGCATTCACTTCTACGGAAACGGCAACAAAGAGAAAAAGAAGGTTGACATTAGGACAAATGAAGGAGAAGCTTTTGTAATCAGTTCAACTGCACTACCGAATCTGTTGCAAAAATACTAGTGTATTATATTGCGAAGAGATATTTATAAAATACTATGAGCGTCCTTTATGCCCGCCTGACGAACAGGCCTCTTCAGGTCAAGTGTCTGGAATGGAAAGTTCAAAGGTTCTGAAAAAGCCCCGCGAAATACAATTGTCCTTCATACACCCCAATGAACAAAGCTTTTCTAGATGAATCCATCTACCCGGATGTCCGGAGGATAGCTGGCCATTCTGAGTATAAGGACGAACCACACCGCATTGACTGCCGCACATCATCAGTCATATATATATATGCGGAACGACGGTAGGTTGCCGACGCTCGTCTTGACCAGAGTTAATTCAAACCTAAGTATGCCGGACGACTTTTGAACGTTGACATGTGAGACGAGTTTTTGCTCATGAACGCATGTCTGTGTTCATATTCAGCCAGCGAAGCGTTGAGAGATGAGTCTGTTCGTTGCACGTACTCCAGGGTGTGCTACATTATGTAGCGCATCGAAAACGAGGCGGCGCATCGCGCATGGAACCAGGGGTCTTGGAACGGATTTAGAGGAATCACAGTCTATGTTACCTGGTGCTGTTTGTAGTGGTACAGGTCTAATCTGTAGTGAAGATTTGTCCGGTGATGGCATTATGACGGGCTCGTTTTTTGTAGTTGCTCCATACGCTGGAGGTCAATCGTGGGTATCGAGTGGAGCGAGTCGACTTCCGGACGAGATAAGGTGTCAGCGACGATGTTCAGATGTCCTGATATAGGGCTAATGTCGTTGGTGAATTGAGAAATATAATCAAGATGACGTATTTCGCGGGGTGAATATATATCAGGCTTGGCAGGCTGGGCTGACATTAACGGTTTATGACTTGTGTAGATGCAAAATTTTCGTCCTTCCAGCAAGTGACGGAAATGGTGGATCGATAATGGCTAACATAACAGTTCTCTACCAAATGTGCTGTAACGTGATTCGGTGGGTGATAGTTTGAAGAAAAATGCAAGGGGCTGATGATTACTGTTAATAGTTTGTTGTAAAACTTATTCGGGAAGAAAGAAGAAAAGAAAAGCAAGAAAAACGCCACTGAACTCGTGTCTGCTCCACGACAGCTCCATCGAAAGAATGTCAGTACGACAAAAGTTGGTTGTATGGCTAACCGGAAACCAATCCGTTGTCCATCCATGAAGCCGCGCATCCACACCTCAGATTTGGAGCTTTGGTCAGTCAGAATGGGCAAAGTACTCATCTCCGACTACTTTAAGGGAGTTCATTTATCCTAATGAGAGCGACTGCAGTCATCAAAAACGAAGTCGATCACACGTGGAATTAAAAAGAACTCCGGTGTTGAAGGTAGTTTCGACAGTAAAGTGTGAATAGAAATCCGAGGACAAAAAAGGGTCAGTCGCATTCAATTAAGGGATAGATAAAGAGTGTTTAGACAGAAAGTTTCACGTATCGTATGGGAGATTTTCTATTGTCTGGAGAGCAGAGTTAGGGTGGATTTACACAGTAGAAAGTGTATCAGAGTGGAAGTCCTTGGCCTAGTCTGCCGGAAATCGCCGCAAGAGGAACCTGTACACCAGCGCAAATCAGGGGATTAGAGCGCGAATTCACTGACAGGAAGCTTAGCGTTCCGAACTCAACCTCGGCATTTCGACTACTCCGGTCTAGGCTTGGGTCACTTGGCAGTGTTTCAGCCCTCGTGTTTCCTTCGGGCAGCATGATAGCTAGGCACCGAAATGGTGTTAGAGGCACATCTTACAAGAAGATCCACAACAGGCCGTTAGAGTGACTACGTGGCAGAAGCCTATTCAACCACCAGTGTAGTCCGGTGACAACTGACTTTCCGCTGCAGAGCGAGAAATTTCGGTGTATGCTAGATTCCATCATATTATAAAGTATACATGTGTTGCTGAAGGCTAGTTATTTGCGTAACAATTGAAAACAACAACTAGGAAGCACTAAGCTAATGGGACTAAAAACACCGTTGATCTCACCTTTCAGCCGGTTCAAAAGTCGATCGGTGCGAAACCAGCTGGCAGCCCAACCGGAACAAATTGCCTACACGCTTCCAAAATGCCGAGCACCAATTGGTCGAAGTGATAACGGATGACCTTATTCGGTAAGAGCGCAACTTTTCATGTATGTACTCGGCATCTTGTACATCAGCCAAACGAAATTCCACGAGAAGTTTCAGGGCTCGGTCAAAAGCGTCGATGGGATAGCCACAAAACGAAGAAACGGGGTACTGTTCCATCCCATCTATTCCTTCCAAAGGGAAATCCATGCTTCCTGAGTAGGCGGCATTCACTTCTACGGAAACGGCAACAAAGAGAAAAAGAAGGTTGACATTAGGACAAATGAAGGAGAAGCTTTTGTAATCAGTTCAACTGCACTACCGAATCTGTTGCAAAAATACTAGTGTATTATATTGCGAAGAGATATTTATAAAATACTATGAGCGTCCTTTATGCCCGCCTGACGAACAGGCCTCTTCAGGTCAAGTGTCTGGAATGGAAAGTTCAAAGGTTCTGAAAAAGCCCCGCGAAATACAATTGTCCTTCATACACCCCAATGAACAAAGCTTTTCTAGATGAATCCATCTACCCGGATGTCCGGAGGATAGCTGGCCATTCTGAGTATAAGGACGAACCACACCGCATTGACTGCCGCACATCATCAGTCGGCTCACCTAAATTGCTGCACACGGTAGAAAAACCGATCCAGAGATGCCACCGATGACGGCCCATTCTTTATCCTCTATGTGGTTTGTCCTCCCACTTGGCCCCACTGACAACGTTCTCCACATACACCAACTCCCTTCGCCTTATGCTTCTACGATCGTGCGTTTCTCTGTATCAAGGACACAGTATTCTAAAGGGGTCCACCAGTACCCATACTGTGGGGTACATTGGGAAATATTCACTGATCACAATGTAGAAACTGAGATAACAGACTTCTATTGTTTGTACGATAAATTCGCTCGGGTCTGATGACTACGACCTTGAAGGATTCAGTCGAAGGATGAATTGACAGACAAGCGTCTGTCATTGCTTCAGTGAGACAGGTACTGCTGGGGTAATTGAGATCGGTAGTTTTATGTGGCATCAACCCGTAGGATTTTGATTTGGAATCCAATCTAATGACAGCAACATTTGCGCAGCTGATTAGGGGGGAACATCTGCAGAATTCCACAAACGAGGAACTAACCGCTGCATCCATACTTTATTTGCAGGCACTTCAGAAACTGGAGTTCAGTCACTCTTAAATACGGTTCTGAATGCTGAAATGAAGCACCATCTCTTATACGTTAACGACCGAGGGGACCGCTGCAGCACTGCTGCAGCTCAACCGGACAACTGCATTGTGTTGGATTCGAGACACACGGACAGCAGTAAATGATCGTCAAAGTTAGGCGTTCATCACAAACGGTTTTTATAGAGCGACAGATCCGAGGATAGCGGAGGAGATAGCGCCATCCGAAAACAAGCTTGGCCTGTACAAAGCATACAGTAGTGAGTCAATAATTCAGTGCTGTTCTCCCAGTCGAGGTCGGGTTTCTTCATTGCTTTTAGTGCCTCACGAACAGTATGCATTAGAATTGCAAACCGGAACACCTCCAGACGCATTAGATGGGAATAAGCGAATCCGCTTTTGGCTGAAATGTGGGAACAGGCCTTCGTGATTATATACCGTGTTCCGTTTTTGTAAACAGCTCAGGGAAGTGGTGAAGATATGGATGTGGACGATGTCCACATCGTCTCTGCGATTATGACAAATTTCACCAACCAAAATAAGGCGTTCCTAATGCAGCGCCTTATAAAATGTCCAAGAAACTTATATTCTGAGACTGTGGCGACCAAAAGCCCAAGCAAACTGAACTACAATGTTGCATGCGATCGGATATGAGTCAAATCTGACGTGTTTGAACGGTCCAAAGTATTTTGTCAGAACACCGCACACCATTCGGAGTGAACGAGTGAACGTCTCGAAGTCAACATCAGCATCTTCTGTCTGTTATCCCTGCGGAAGTATACAATGAAAAAGCAAGAGCTCGCGGATGCCCAGTGTTCAGCGCCCACTAGATCAGTGGTTAGAGCGCGAATTTACAGACCGGAAGGTCCGTGGTTCGAATTCGACCTCTGCCTCTGGACTTCAATTGTCTACGCTTGAGCAACCTGGCAGTATCCCAGCCCTCGTGCTTCCTTCGAGAGGCATGGAAGCTACAGCTGAACGATTATTAGAACGTTCAATGTTTCGAATGAGATCACTCATTACTTTGAAAAAGAATGACACTCTTCGGCACAGATCGAATTCGCAACCAACCGGCTTTGGCTCGGGTGAGAAGGATGACGCTTGAATGCGCCAGTGGTATAAGAACAGGCAAACTGAATGTCACTAAGACCAAAGGAGTCTACTAACGTTGGATAAAACAACGTAGAAACTTCCGGTAAAATACTACTCAGCTACAGGTAAGTATCGTGTAACAAATCTGGCAATCTATAAAACTATGTACGGGAAATTCAGCGAAAATAATCGAAGATTCTAGTCACGTGTCCTTGGACAGAAGATTTACTGAACTAGACTAAATGTAGTAGAACAGGGGCAGGACTGTTTAAACTGAAGTGACCTGGAACAAAATTGGGTAAGAAGATAAGGACTCAAACACATTTTCCATAAGTCTATTGGCAGACGGATAATACCCTGCTCCAGGAGGCGGTAAACAACCTACGAATGTGACTGACCCATTTGAAATGGAATCATATGTACTCAACAAAATTCTCAAGCATGCGATTCGCAGGATACCGAGACTGTGTTGTCACCGACAGAAGGCAAACATCATCAATTCATTAAAGTTCATGATGCAGAAGCGGCAACTTGAGTCGGTCGGAATAAACTGATCATTTGGACATGTGATGTGCGCAGACGGAAGCCCCTTAAAATAAACAGGAAATGATGCGATGGCGTGAAAAAATACTTGGAACCGATTCGGTAGTCATCGTTTTCGAAAAAAAGTTTGGTGACAATCGGTAGATTTATTCCTGGGCAATAAATCTCGACCAACCTCGGAACCTGGTCACTTGGCTTGACGAAGCTTTTGTGTCAAAAGCGAAACGTTGTCCAGCAATAAATCTACCGATTGTCAGCAAACTACTTCGAAAACGAGCACATTATGCACTTCGGTTGGAGCAGTTGCATTGTAGCTGAGTTCAACACAGGATATACAAACCATCTGGGCATTGCATTCTCAGGGAGACGCCGACAGAAGACAATGTGACCCAATGAAAGAATTCTTATGATTGCTGGAAAATACATAACGATCTGGAGTTCATAATACTTACTTATTGTGGGGAAAGATTTTCGCATTGATGATTCGTCATCTTGCTCGCTTTGCACAGAAACCTGTGCATTTGATCGGGATGGTGTGTCCGACAGTGTTAACAGTAGGTAGGCGAGATGTAATGCCCGAACATGAGGGTCCCATGTCGCTTGATCTGTGTCCGCAGGATCTAGAAGGTTGAAGAGCTCGGAGGGACAGGAGCCATTAGATGGAACAAACGCCTGCTGTGGAACATAGGCATAGGTGAACCTGGGAGAACGGTAGAAAAGGCTGCGCTCCGGTCGCCCTTGGTCAGCAGCCAGTGCAGGCCACAAGTCAGCCAACACGCGTAGCAATGCAGTCTTTCCAACTCCGCTCGGACCGGTAATCAGGAGCGGTTCGTCCCTCCGGATGGTTAGGTTCAAGTCTAAGATAAGAAAACGAGAATTTTTGACATAATGATGTTAGTAACCAACTGATACGAAAGTAGGTTTGCCAGAATCAGGGTGCCGATACACACCAGTAAATGTAAACGTGAAATAAACCTGTTTAAAAAGTTCTGTTCTTCAATTGCCTTCATCAGGATGAGAACAGCAACCAGATTAAGAAGAACATGTTCAAACAGCAGGTGCAACATAAAATGCGGAAGGTGGAGATCTGCTGGAAAGGGGGCATCGAAAATGTTGGGTCTATGAAAGTTTGGCTGACGCGTGAGAGGTGTTGGAGACCTTGCAACACGTCTGGTGCTGAGACATAAGGAATAAAAAAAAGAAAAAATCGTTCACCTGTAACACTCTTCCTGTGAGTAGCTGCCATGCCACCCGAAGGAAGAACGAGGGCTGAAATACTGCCAGTTGTCCAATCCTAGACAGAAACAGCTAAGATGGTGGGGATAGATTCGAACCAGGGCCCTCCTGATCAGCAAATACGCGTCCTAACCACTGAACTATCTCAGCTCATCCGCTATCGTATAATGAAAGATGCTCCTGAAAATATTTGTGGGTTTTCTGACATAACAACAGACTGGACCGCTCAAGAAAAATGAGAAAACATCATTTCGGCGAACGTAACTTTCCGAACGTCAGAATGCTTGCAATCAATACCGCGGTTAGGACTGAGAAAGCTGACGTGAAGCAGTAAAATTGTTTCCGGTTAAAGAGCAGCATGTCACATAGATAATAAAAGCAGCTGCAGGCCTGGACAAGGTGAAGTGCCACACGATAATACAATTCCGTTTTTAGCTACAGGCTGTGTGCCGAAGAATAACAGAATTAGGGCAACTCGTCGAAGGCGATTACCCAATCAGTTCATTGACAATAAGTGGTTGTTTGTCTGATACGATAGTGTGGTGGAGCAACGCGGTAAAGGCGGTAGCTTTGAACCAGGATCACCATGAGCTGAGTGATATAGCTATATTTGTCGGCATCGTTTGTCTATTCCCGGGGTCCCCATCCGGAGAGGCAACAACTAGCAATACAACTGAATTGACCAACAAGGACATTTGAGTTTTGTTGCTGGATCATGGATTAACTGTCCCTGATTCGTCTCCATTCGACACATGGCTGTGAGAAAAGAATTCTAAGAGGCGAATGGTTCTTTTGCATAACCAACATAATCTGTGGAGTGTGAGCATCCGATCTCTCGAAGCAGAGGAACTTCCCTGAAAACCATCTGACGTATCTCAGCGTAACTGAACTGATCTCACCAGACCTATGGAATACATTGGGGGCACATATAATCGAACACAGAGAGTCTTAGGATGTCCCTCACGCACAGCGACCGTGTCTCCGATCCATAAAGTAAGGAAGATCGGACGACAGAATTGTACACTGTACACTAGGCATTCAAGCTGATGTCACCTGGGCGTCACAAATGTCGGAGATTGGCACACATTATCCTGGATGTTCAGTTCGATAGGTGACTTTGTCTTTCGCCAGTGGGCTGCGACTTGTGAGGCTGTCTACCACATTGATCAGTTCAACCTAGTCTTGCATTGGCAGGTGGGAAGAGGAAGCGACCGGTACGGCAGAATTATTTTGGTAACTTAACATAGTTCGTAGTTCAGCTGTAGCACTCTTTCGGTGTCTAGCTACCACGTCACCCAAAGGAAGCACGAGTGCTGGGATACTGCCAGGTTGTCCAAGCGTAGACAGAGGAAGTCGAGAGGCAAAGGTCGGGTTCGAACACGAACCATTCGGTGAGTAAATTCGCGCTCTAACCACTGAGCCATCTCGCATTTCTAAATAGACAGATCCAAATGAGCACTGTCGTCGGCGTACTCAATGTCTCTGAGCGGAAGCTCCCGGAGTATGTCGATACTCGACTTGCTTGGGGCAGGTGAAGAAGATTCAAGGACCACATCGATTACCAAGTTAATGACAAAGGGCGACAGAGAACGCCTCTGCCTGACACCCAGGAGAGAAATTATCGTGAACACTTATACGTCCACGGTGGGAGGCATACACCACCTTTATAAGAGGCAAGAATTGAGAAGGGACATTCTTCATCATCAGACACTGTCACACTTTTGACGACCGATGGAACAAAAGGCAAATCTGAGATTGAGGAACATGGTTACATAAAGAGTAGCGGAGTTTCAGTATTTTTCGCAAAGTGAAGGATGGATGCGAGCCCGGCTAGTGCGAAACCAAGCTTGATTCTCGCGAATCTGATCAACGTCAGTAGGATGATATCAGAGAGCACCTAGAGAGCTATGGCCACTTTAATGATGCCCCGGTGGTTTTTGAACGATGTTCTTACATATATTTTAAATGTAGGAATCAACGTCGAGCTGTTCCATTCTGTCGATATTGTCCCCGTTCTAGCTATTTCGGAGTAAAGTTGTCAGGTTAGCCACGAGGGATTCGCTAACCCCTTTTGAGGGTACAGAATACAAAATGTCTGGATCAGATGCCACGTCGCAGTGAACCAATGAAATTAAATACTGGACGACGAACTGCAGTCGACATTCCACTCAGGTTCTGAAGTTCCTTATGGAAGCTGAGTTGATGGGGCCCAGCTGAATTGTTCGCCAGATTGTTCGATCCATTGTTCAAAATGACGTTGCTGTGAACGAAACGAGTCCCATACTTTTCGGAGATTGTTTTACTAACACCCATCCTTTTCGAACGGTCGACTGGATTAGGTCGAACACGAAGTGACTGTTTTAGAGATCTGCGTGCGCCACCATAGCCCTCTGTTTCTGGTGCAGTTTTCCTAGCCTCAGTTAGAGCTGCTGAACGTGATGAGATGGTGTTCATTGGTGTGTGCGAGCGTGCTCGGGCAGGCGGCTTCAAAAGCTGTGACCATGGCTGCTTTCACCCTTCTCCAATCGTCATACAAATCAACATTATCATCACTCTCCCATCAAGTCCCACTTCTTATCAGGCAACTCAACGCAATACTACTAAGATATAGACAGGCTTTGCACGTGACGCATTTAATGGCTTAGCACCAACTGCCGTTTTCACGAGGGGAAGAGAATAGATACGAGTGCTGAAAACACGCCGCGATTAGAGTCAAGTAGTGCCATCCAAAATGAACGACAATACTGTATCGAAGCTCTCCATCGGTAACTGATTACATAGTTTGACTTATTGGTTTGAAGTTGGTGGACTCCAGGCGATATGACGTGAGTGCTTGTGCTGAAAGTTTATGCTGAAGAAAAAACTCCAGAACATAGTTGAAGAAGTAGCTCCGATTATCCGGCCGGCGAGCGACAACCCCTAATCCACGACTCAGGTGGGCTCCCTCAGTTGGTCGGCCAACCCGTACATCCCTATCACCTGTCAGGATCACGAGATTTGTGCTTATCACCGACCGGAGTAATCGTGATAAATCTCCATGGAAGCTGTCTTTTTCAGTCTTGGAGCTACCGTCTACTGGGGCATACGCTGACACAACAAATAAACGCCGTTTAGCACGTCCAGGTGTATTGGTCTTCATTGAACGAGTCAACCTAACAGTGCAAACGGTTGTTAACCGGAATTTCGTCAAGTGGGGCGCATTCAGTCCCGAGGCTAAGTCCAATTCCCACACCGTAGATTCTAGGAGCTATTGCATCACGATAACCAGGGCGCGGGAAGAGTAAATTGTTAGAAAAGGGGGTCCGTCCCGAATGGTTTGAAGCGTGTGACCGAATGTGTGTTTCAGTGACATAAAATACATTGATTTGAAGAGAGAAAATGTCTGCCTGTTACCCAAATTGATACAGCCAACGTACGTTGAAAGCAGCAATGTGGAACAAACTTGACGAATTTAGTAACGGGCCATTTCGATTTATTTCATTGGACAGAAGCTTAGATATGCCGAAACAGCTGGGTGATTGACAACTTAATGAATCATAAAGAATTAGATGAGGGAGGCGTAGGGAAGGATCAGTGAGGGAAGGGCTAAAAGGGCGAATGATACTCCCTAGTTGCCTGGTTCGAGTGAAGTACAACATCCTGAGCCTTTGACTGTCTTATAGGGCAGATGCGGAATTTCTTCCTTTCTCCTAGCCTCAGCGGAACAGCGGTTGTTGAGATTCCTTAAGGAGCCTCTGATACAATGACTGCGCAATGTTCGTTCGTGAGGTAACTAAATATACCACAGAATCACCCGAAAACCATAGGTGATTAAGTTCGCATTGAATAGGTGTCCAAATTATGGAGGAAGGAAATGCCCAAAACTGTTATTCTACCTGTGCATATTCAGACGGTTCGATTCGACAACAAGGCTCGGTAGATGTACCCATATTTGCATGTGCAGTCATGAGCAGATCCAATCCCATCACAATGTATATGCAGAGTTTTGCGATTTAGAAAATAAAATAATAATCGCTCAGCTCTAACACCATTCCGGCGCCTAACCACCCGAACGAAGCTGGGGGGCTAACATACGGCCAGGTTTCCCAAGCCTATACAAGAGCAGTTAAAACGTAGAGCTCGGGTTCGAACATGGACCTTCCTATCAGTCAATTCGCGCTTCAATCACTGAGCCATCTCGGGCTCAGTGGACAACGACCAGGTTGTGGTCAGTCAATATTGGTTGCGTTCCTAAAATGAAGCTGGTTTTCAAATGAAAAGACCTAACCATTCCTCTCATTCAGTGTCTCAGAAACGACCCAAACAAGATGGACTCGGCCGACTTTTCGACCTGTTTGCACTAACAGGCATGCATATTGTTCCGATTCATCCTCACACGATTTCAGATGCATTCGGTAGCCACACATCCTTGTGCTACACGTCTCGCAACAACAACTCCGTCGAAGGCATAAACAAAAATGTCAGTGCTTCATTGCCATTGAAAAAACCGAGGTAAAACGGCACCCCTTTCAGAGCTCTGTAAAAATGTTGACCATTGGAATTCAGATCCATATCTGGATGAGGGACTCCAAAGACATCAACTACGCGTCTCTGGTTCGTCTCCTAGTTCTACATGTCAACA